TTACTTTTAAAATGTCACTCTTTCACTTAATTTACAATCTTCCATAAATTACTATCAACCATAAACTCATTGTTTACATCTGCATGATTGATGCGTATAAAGCACTACAAACCTCTCGCTTTGAAGGGGCGTGTGTAAGATCACAATCGTGTTTACCTTCTCAAAGAAGCTGGAAGCTAATCCAAACTGTTTTTATTATGTGGATACCTTGTACATGTTCACCTATTGTTATCCACTAACATTTCATATGTGTCCTGTCCCTTACCAATTTTGTTCTTTCCCCTTTAATTGATTCTATCTCTAAGTTTTCTATCATCAGACGGAATCATCAGGAAGAAAATCTGCCATCAACTTTCCCAAAGCAAAGCAGAAATAAGGACAGTCATCAATCAACCTTAAAAGAATGAAAAGGGAAGAACAAATGAACTGCACTATTGGCACTACATCAGAAAAAGGCCATAACAGCGTCCATATTTTAGATGTAATTGTCTCTTATTGAGAAATCAAACACAGATACATTAGATTAATTATCTGAGCACAGAATTCAAGGTAATGCCTAATATTATAAAGGTGGAAAGAGAGAGAGAGAGAAGAAGCTTATATATGGATGATATAGAACTAGAATAAAGTAACATCATTGGTTGAGATCAATTACCTTGACCATTGTCATTTGCTCTACAGACAATAAAAACGTACTTGAGGAGTGGAATAAGAGTGAGGGAATAGATAATAACAGATAAAGCTCCAATTAAATCCTCTGGGTCACCAATTCCATCAGGAAATGTATTGTAGAAAACATACAAAGGAGATGTGCCTAAATCTCCATACACCACACCAAGGCTTTGAAATGCAAGCTGCAGAAGCATTAATGTCGAATATTTCTGCAAGGAAATCAGCAACAAGAGCAAAGCTATTTTAGAAATAGCACAATATCTTAAAACATATGTCAAATCCATGCCAGGTATAGGCAGGCTACATTCGTTGTATATATATCATGCAATTATTTCAACCATATAGTATGAAGAGTTGCAATCAATAAACAATGCCAGACTACATCCAAAGGAATGCATTCCTTTGCACAATTCATTTTCCTTTTCTTTTCTCCAAATAAACAGATCATAAAAAAAACAAAAACAAAACTTCAATTGACTGCCAGATTTTAATAATTCAAAGCCTTCAGAATTGACATTACTAATTATATGGGTACTTTAGGCTTTGAAACAGTTCACTACAGAATGGAGGAGAGCGAGAGAGAGAGAGAGAGAGAGAGGGAGAAAGATAATACCTTTTCCTTGTACATATTTCTAAGCCTCTTAGCCTCCTCATCCATGGGCTGATCAAGCTGCTGATCCAAAGCCCAGACGCTACCTTTGTTATCAGTGTTTTCATCAGCAGACATTCTTCTAGCCATCTGCATCTCAATAATTCAAATGATTCTCCTTCCCTTCCACCAATTCACCTCTCGAGTATAATTTTTTCAATCCCTTAGTTGTTCTTTCTTACTCTCCCTCTACATTGACAGCTGCAACCCCATATACTTTAGTCCTGACTGAACCTAAACCAAAACAGATATCAGTGTTTACAATCTGAAAATTCTTCTGCTTTGGAATTGCTAGCAAATTACCAGGAAAAAAAATCTCAGCAACAGCTAAAAATCAACATTACTTCCCCAACTAAGAAGCTTTATCAAGTATGAAACATTAAAAGATCATTCAAGTGAATCAAATCCACTACCCAGAAATCCAACACAGAAAATGAACAAGTTGAATAGACAACAAAACCCAGAGCATGCATTTTAGTACCTCAATTGAACGGAAATAAACTGCTACACAAAAAATGAACAAAACCCAGCACTCCATTGAAGCCATGACAATCCAAGAACACCCAGCAAATGATTTACATAGAAAAATGTAAAGGAAAAAAGGAAAAACAAAACAAAATCAAAACTTTCAGTGTCTTTACTTGGTTGTAAGTGATATTCCCACGTGGGTTTAGCCTTGAAGACTTCAGGTACCCATCAAAGCATACCATAAAAGTGACAGAGATGAACAAACGCCATTCTTCAGAGCAAAAGGAGTAACAGAGAGACGGCGGTGCTCCTAGTTCATTGAGCTATTCCTTATCCTAGTTAAATTATAGTACATGGTAAATATTGTTCCCCCCTTTTCTGGTTAATTATCCACGTACTTATCAGCAAGCTTGTGTTTTGGCGACAACCCAAATACGATCTTTGTTAAAACTACGACTATAAAAGCAAACAATCTAGCTTGAAAAGCTGAAAAGTAAAACAGTTGAATAAAAATTGGACAAAAAAGAATATTGCTTTAAAAACTGGAAGAAATTTAAATTGCGTTTTTTTTCTTTCTGATTTGGTAAAAATGCGTCTTGCTCTTTGCAAGTAATGTTTATGGGTTTCTTTGTGTTCTTAATGTAGAAAATACCAAAAATACTCATTGCCTAAGATTTAGAGCGCGGGTTTCTTATGTACGGAATCTAATAAGAATTTGCGTTGCGTCCACATGGTTAAAACTAAAGGGAATATTTGTAGAAGAAAATTAATACAAAATGAAGGGCGAGGACATTCTTTTCATTAAGCATCGAGTGAAGACAAGCACACATGTGAGGAGGTCCTAATTATATTAATAATCTACATTTTGTGATCAGTAATTCTGTGGTACATTCAACGTATCGGAGTACCGACAGATCGTTATAAATGATTAAATTAATTTTTTTAATTGAATAACTAAAAGAATGAAAGGACTCATTTGTGATATCTTTATTAACAGAGCATGGTTATGTGATCTTTATTCAGAGATTCGTGTGGCTAGCTAGGCCACGTAGTAATGTTTTAGCTTAATTCAAGATATTTGTTTTTGGGTTTTTGGCCCTCACTTCACCCAAAAATAGAAGAAAAAAAATCCAATGAAAAGAAGTATGTGCTTGAAAATATCACAAGCTTAGACATTATGATTTGGACAAGACTGCATACCAACAACAATGGGTTGACGTTAAGTCAAAACATGGAGTTTTGTTGGATCCAACCGAGTCACAATTTCCTTTTTGGTAATTTGAGTCAAAACTTAACTAGCAGGCCCAAAACCAAGTCCAATCAAAATATACATCATTGTTCAGCCATGCA